TGCGCTTTTAAAACACTGGTTATAATGTCTCTATTTGATGATGACAGTATGATCAAAAGGAGATAGTGAGAGCACATATACACATGGATCATGAAATCAATGCTCACATGTCATGAACCRTGAACAGAACAGCCTCTTTTGCATTGTGTGGTTCAAAATAAATTGTCATTTTAACCATTCTTGCAACTCACCGCTATATTACTTTTGTTCACTAAACTGGATTCAACAATACTTTGACATGGAGAAGCTTCATATAAAACTTATTGAGCCGTTTATTTTGAAATTCATAAATGCTTCAACATGAAATCATAAATTGTTCTTCATAGTCCTGCACAAATYCACCATGAGTCCAGAGGAGATGGAGTTTGCACCAGCAAGGAGATGGAGACGAGTTTTGAAGATTGAGGCAAAAAGCATTTCTTTTGGGAGAAGTTTGGACAAGAAGAAGAATTGCTCTGCAGGTAGTGGAGCTGAGAAAAGCTTTGCTGATTCTTGAAGAGAGAGCAATCTCCTGGTTTCAAGGATTTCTGGAGGGAGCTAATAGAACCTTGAGAACAATAGAATGGAAGTGTAGTCTTGTGGAAGAGGGAAGAAGGTATTCTGCTGAAACAAAAGAGAACAAAAAAGGAAGATTTGTGGGCATCTACCAATATTATGGAGAAGGACTGAAGCAGTTCACATGCTTCCCTGAAGGGAGAGAAGCTTCGGGCTGGATAAAATAATACAAGCAATACAGGAGYTTCTAGTGTTAAGGAACGAAAGGAGTTATCCATTCAGAAAGGAAGAGAGTCAGAAGAACCCTGAAGAGAAGGCGGAAGAAACAGATTGGAAAGGAAAAAAAGGAAACCAATACAGTTAAGAATGTTCAGATTGATGCATGGTTAGGGCCGATGAGACTGTGGCTCAATAAATCCAAAAAAGAGTGGGAGAACAAGCTAGTAGTCTCGCTGAACAAAGAAGTTACAGATTGGAAAACCCTGGGTGAAGAGATTCAACAAGTGTTGAAGGTCTCAGAAACACTGCAGATTAGCCCTATTAATGGGCAGAAGGCTGTGGTATCTTGTAGAAGTCCCTGGCTGGACTTTGAAGCAGTGTCAGCAGTAACAAAGAAAGGATTGGCAATGGTAGGAAGGTCCCCAAGTTGCAATGAGAAAACTGTTGACCTAACAGACTGCATTGAGATGAGAATTCTGGGGCTGCCTTATTATCTATGGTCAGACAAGATATTTAACAGAATTGCAAAGTTGTCTGGTGGTGAAGTCTCGGCTGTAGATGCATCAGACCTCCGAGCAGTACTTATTAAGGTGTATGGAGCGAAGCCAGAACCAATCCCACGTACTGTAGAAGTTTTCTCAGATGTCAGATGTTCAGAACTTGGATAGCTACCTCTGTGGAAGCTTGATGGTAGAAGGAAGGAAGGGCTGGAGAAGATGAAGCTGATGTGGCCAAAAACTGGTCTCGAGGCAGCCTTAGAGATAGAGGAGAACAGAGAAAATCATAAATTTTCATGAATAAGGAAACTGAAAAGACTGAGATTTGGAAAGGTGTAAATCAAGTTACCTCCTAGTTGGGTAATTCGAAGCAACAAGGCAGAGTTTCAATGGGTGTCTGTAAAACATTTGCTCAGGCTTTGATGGCTTCAAAAGGTAGAGGTGTGGTAGATTCAAATTTGAAAAAATGTTCAGGGGTGGAGACAAATGGGAGAGAAGGAGAAATTAATCTTAGTGGGCCTTYGAATGACTTGGTCCAGTCACGAGGAGCCTTAAATAGGCACATACATTAGAAGAGATTGGGGGTGTTGTTAGGCCTAATAGGYCATGCCCATTATTTTTGGAGATCTTAGAAGTAAAAAGAAAGTCATGTCATCAATTAAGTGATCACATGATTACTAAAACAGGTTGAGTGTTAGGGGACCTAAGTTTGGGTGTGTCATCATCCCAAAC